TGCTCTTAAAGTGTTGCTTCTGTGCTGGGTCTTATGCCAAATGATATAACGTGCTGGGTCTTCTAAGAGTGAAGATTCATCACTTCTCGGCCTTTTGGCTAAGATCAAGTGAAGAGTGGATGTGCAGTTTTCTATTACACTCCAGCTTTCCCAAAGTTAAGCCTCACCTCACTGATTTTGAAAGCAAGAAATTATGGGAACTTGTTTGCACTACAGGATCACAGGACTGCCAGTGTCTGGTGTGAGGCTTGATCCCTTTCTCCTCGTTGCTTCTAATGTCCCTTCTCATTGTGATTTGGTTCCTGATCTTGATTCTGCCCTTCCTGCCCTTTTTGATATGGCCTTCTCTTTATGACTTTAACTGTGGAAGATCAGTTCTGTCATTCTTCATGCTATTCTCAGAGTCAGTTGTGATATGTGTATTTTTTGCACTGTGTCCATGGAAGGTGGTGAACTCAGGTTCCTTTTCTAATCCTCCATGGTCTCCCTCTCTCCTCTAGCAAACTATTAACTGCTTTGTAGATACAACTAGAAATTCCAATAGTTGCAATGTGACAGCTAATAATGAGGAGTCTGGAAGGCCTGACATTTTTTACTTGACTGGCACATGCATGGGAGATTGGTTAATTGGGAGCCCTTGCTAGGAGAATGTATTTGCAGTGTGCCATTGTTAATGAAAAATATGGGATATAGGGCTGCCTGAGTGGCTCAGTGGGTTAAGCCTCTGCCTTTGGCTCAGGTCATGATCCCAGTGTCCTGGGATCAAGCCCCGCATTGGGCTCTCCACTCAGCAGGGAGCCTGCTTTCCCCCCCCCCACCCCCGCCTGCCTCTCTGCCTACTTGTGATCTCTCTCTCTGTCAAATAAACAAATAAAATCTTTAAAAAATATATGGATATATTAGTTATTAAAAAGGGAACAAATAAAGGGAGTAACTCACATAGGAGGGAACCAGGATGGTAGCATACCCATTGTGGTTGTACACAACAGGATTCCCTTATTTGGGTCTTGTGCTCATCATTTCCAGAAATAATTTAGATTACAACCATGTAACATACATAAAACATGTTTATTGTAGTTGGAGATAAAACTAACCTGGGAGTATAATTAATATAATAGGTAATGAAAGACAAATTTAAAATTATCTGGAGAGGTTACAAAAATGAACCAGGATGTTTAGGCAGGGACATGAAGTCCTATGTATATGTTTAAAGTTAAGTTGGACCAGAGAAGTGTCCTATTTTGTTAGTAATAACTGTAAAAAATACTGGGTTGTCTCACATCTGTCTCTGCTACTCAACCAAAACTATTCTTAATGAAGTTCCAGTGGCTACTTGTTGGTAAAAGCTACTTTCTGTTTGCTGATCCTTTTCCATTCTGCTCCTTCCTGACCCTTTATTTGACCCTATACAAAATTTTAACTAATTTCCTAATTCCATTATCTCATGTTTCCCTAGCTTCCCTGTTTTTCCTATTTTTCCTTCTTGGTCTCTTTTACCATACCTTTATTTTTTTTTTAAGATTTTATTTATTAATTGATCAGAGAGAGAGAGACAGAGAAAGAACACAAGCAGAGGGAGAGGCAAGCAGAAGGAAAAGATGGCTCCCGCTGAGCAGGAAGCATGATGCAGGACTCAATCCCAGAACTCTAGGATCATGACCTGAGCTGAAGGCAGATGCTTAACTGACAGCATCCTTTTGCTATCCCTCTATGGTTTTCCTTTCCCCTTTTCATTTAAAATTCAATGTTTCCAAAGTTCTAATCACAGTTCCTTTGTACTCTTCATCTCTCTCTGGTCATTTCTTTGCTATTAATTCATTCTAAATACAGTTGTTGAGGACCTGGGAAGTGAATAACCCATACACGGAAAACTATAAGACACCATAAAAGAAATTAAAGAAGATATTGATAAATATACAGGTATTCCATCTTCATGAATTGGAAGAATTAATATTGTTAGAATGTCCATACTACTCAAAGTAATCTACAGATTCAGTGAAATCTGTATTAAAATGCCAGTGGCATCTTTCGCAAAAATAGAACAACAATCCTAAAATTTGCATAGAACCAGAAAAGATGCAAAATAGCTAAAGCAACATTAACAAAGGGATAAGGCTGGGGGCATCTTTCTTTCTGATTTAAAATTTTATTATAAAACCATAGGAATCAGAACAGTATGGGATTGCCATGAAAACAGATATATAGATCAGTGGAACAGAGCAGAGTCCAAAAATAAATCCATGCAAATATGGTCAGTTTATTAAATAGGACCCAAGAATATGCAAAAGGGGATAGAGGAGTCTTTTCAACAAATGATGCTAGAAAAACTAGACAGCTACAAGAAAAAGAATGAAATTGAACCACTATCTTACATTATACACAAAAATAAATTCAAAATGGATTTAACTAGAAAGTAAGACTTGTAAAACTCCTAGAGAAGATATACTCAGTAAGATCCTTAATATCACTTTTTGCGATGATTTCTTAGATTTGATACCAAAAGCAGGTATCAGCATGGGGACTCTAAGCTTGTGTCAACCCTTGAACACAGCTAGATATCAATCATTCCAAACATCCTAGAAATCTATCTGAATGCTGAGAGAATGAAGTACAAAACTAGAGGGAGGAGAGAAGCAACATCATGGAAGATAGGAGGTTCAGAGATGTGATTCCAAAGAGCAAAGAATTGCTCATGTGGCAGAGGGGAAGAAGCCTAGATCTCATAGAGGGGAGAGAGAGAGAGAAAGAAAGAAAGAAAAAAAAGAGAAAGCAGTGCAACAAGAGAAAGAGTGCACAAGAGAAACACTTCACCAGAATCACTGACTGGGAGAACTAGAGCAGCTGATTATCACAAGTTTTTATAAGAAGCAGAACTCAACGTCTGAATTTTTAGAAGTTGCTGCCATCACTGGGATTGCACCCAGTGGGCCTAGCAGTGCTCCAAGGGGCAGAAGGTGGAACCCTGGGAGTGCACAACATGGTCTGAGGATCCCCTGGGATGTGGAGAGAAATAGTTCCCTTGTTGGAGTATATTTAGGAGAGGTGGACAACCTCTTTGGGACTAAAGAGCTGGCAGCACCAGTGGGTGTTCCATTCATTAACATGGGAGCAGAGACACCAGCTGAGGGCAAAAAACATTGGTGTTGGCTGTTTGCTGGGCTTTACAATAAACTCCAAGTGCCAGTGTGATTTTGTGAGTGCTTTTATGGGACAAAGAGTCACCGGACACAGCATGGTGAGACCCACCCCCACAGGATCAGCACAGGTCCACACTGTGCCAGTTCACTAAAACCTGGAGGTTTGAAACCCAGCCTTGTCCCTGAGATAAAATACAGGAACACTGTGCTGCCTGACAGGTATACAACGTGGATATAGACAGGATAAAATCAGGGACTTGACAGAAGCCTGTGACACAAGAGGGTAGATCCCGCTTCTGTGAGAGTTTCTTAAGCAGCAATGGGTGCAAATCTCCCAGCTGCAGGATGAGAGAGAACCATATAATTTGACATGTCAAGTATATATCAATAAAAATTATGCCAATTATGTCAATTGAAAAATAAGAGGAAAACAAACAATTAACAGGTAATTCGGATTGTTCCTTCATACTGAATTAACTTTTGTTTTGATTTTAATCCTCATTTGAAGTACTAGTGATACATTCTGTCACAAACCAACATTTACCACCTTTGTGGCTAAATGGACCTAGTACTATTTACAAAAATGCTTCTACACTATTTTAATAGACTACATAATTTAGTTTTCTGTATAGATAGTTACACCACAAACTAATATTTTTCAGAAGTCAGCAGATTTAGGCTCACCATACTTCTCTATCTCCTTACTATAAAACAATAATATTGCCTAGACCATTATTTAAGGGACCAATTAATTATAGCATAGTCTTCTTGAGCAATAGGAAAAAAGAAAGATGAAAAATTAAGGAAAATGTTGAAATTAGTCAAAATGATATCAAAAGTTCTTTCCTGGTTTAAGAGGCAGAGGTACTGAACATAAGGGTTTAAGGACTATCTAAAACATTAAAAGATCAGATTGCTATATAATTTTATTTCAGTATCTTACACACTTTTCTTTTTAGGTTTAGAACAAAAAGCCCTCAGGAATGGTGAATTCCTTCCAGGAATGGAAGTTAATTAAAGTCAACTAAAAAATTCCATCCAAGGGTGCCAGGGTGGCTCAGTTGGTAAAGTGTCCCACTCTTGAATTATGCTCAGGTCCCAATCTCAAGATTGTGAGATGGAGCACTGGGTGTGGATCCTGCTTAAGATTCTGTGCCCCTCTTCACCAGCACCTCTCGAAAAACAATAACAAAAAAGATCCATTCACAGTAATAGAATACTAAAGAAAGTGAATGCTACAGAGACCATGGGCTGGTCCTCTTACTGTATTCTGCCGGGGTGGGGTCAATGAACTTGAGCGGCCTGTGATGCCCCACGAGGGGGCTCCCCCACTGAAGGAAGGAGTTTGCAGGGATGGAAGCCCTGCGTTCTGCAGCGAGAAGAGACGTCCGGACCCGCTGAGTCACGTGGTGGGAGGGGCTCGCCCGCGCTCTCTCCCTCCCCTTCTCCTCCACATCCCGTCCTCTGATGTCACAAATCTGTTCCTCCCTGGGAGAGCTGATTAGCATTCAGTGGGTGCAGTTGGCCGGGAGCGAGCGGCGCGGGCAGGCGGGCGGGGGCGCGGCCGTCCCCCGGGGAGCCGCAGTGGGACTGGGCGCAGGATGGCCGCGTTCTAACTGGGATCCTCGCTGACGTGCGGCTGCCGGCTGCTTGGCAGCCGTCTTTGCGGACCAGTAGGCAGAGGGGAAACGGACGCTGCTGAGCCTTTTGCATCTTGGAAGGGACTGTAATCTACTGTAGGGAAGAACAGAACCTCTCAATCACGCGGTGTAAATAAGAGACGGAGGGGAGCCCAAAAGAAAAGGAAGAGGAGGGGAAAAGTGTGTGTTGGGGGAGCGGGGGAAAGCATTTTTGGTGGATGGTATGAAGCCAGCCATGGAAACTGCAGCCGAGGAAAATACTGAACAAAGCCAAGAGAGAAAAGGTACCCAGCGCTCTGACAATAGCCTGTTTCCAGCTTTTCACTGGGGTGCTTTCAAAGGAATAGCCCGGTTTTGTGTCTCTTGGAAAATAGCTCTGAAACAATCCCTGTGGCATGGTCTTGCTTTCAGGGTGGTTTTTCCCTGTAGACTAATGTTAAATTAATAGAGCATCCTTCCTTCAGCCCAGTCCTGTTCCAGATCTTCTTACCTAGTGTGGGATTTCCCACAAAGATGTATGCACTTTGTCACCTTGGGTTGGGGAAACTTTTTTTTTTCATTAATGGAATGTGTCATAACTTATTTTTGATATTCTGAGTTATATTCCAAGTAGGTGCAATACATTGTTTTCTCCTAATGGCAAGGAGGAACTTTTAAATATGCTTTGGTTCTGCTAATGCTATAGTGATTCTCTATATTTCTTTAATTTTCTTATCTAATATGATTGCTATTTTTGTGTATCCAAGTTGTAACTATGACATATAGTAACTATTTACAGTCGAAGCTTGAGAGACACAGTATCAGCTTAGTCACCTACTGCTGTTTAAAGGAGTTGTCAGGGTTGACTGTGTCTTCTACTATGTACAATTTACAGATTTGATCGATGAAAATAGATAAAGGTCCTGTTCCTTACATGGAATTTTGGAACATATCATGGTTCTGACAGACAAAGTAGATTTTTTTGGAGACGTGTTTGCAGTAAGAAAATGGTAGAAAACAGAAGCAAAAATTAATGTCTTTTCCTAGGTAATAATTGATTTCAAGTTCAATAGCACATAGAATTCTCTCAGCCACTGCTATGTGAAGGGCATCTTTCTGCATTGGAATTTATTTTTTTTATCCAAAGTTACAGATTATCAAAAAGGCACAAGAACGTACTCTATACCCACAGAAGCTTTATTACTAAGGTTATTTCTTAAGGCTACAGCAAACACTGAACATCACTAAACATAGTAATTCTTCAAGGTGGAGGCATAAGTGTGTTTTACTTATGAATCTGTACATTGTACTGTCTGAAATTGCTGTTAGTCATCAATTTTACACCTATAAAAACAGCAATTTCACACAGCTCTCCAATTGGCATGCTGTTATAGAGACTGTTTTTGTATGGGATTTCTTCTGTACATAAGACTTTGATAACATTGTCTCATAAACAGCAATTTTATTTATGAATTGTTAGTTTATTCCAGTTCTTGCATCAAACCTATCTACCGCAAAACACCAAAAGAAGAAGTTAAAGGCAATTCCTGGAAAAAAGAATTTTAAAAGCTACCAAAACTGAAAAATACAAACAAGCAAATATGGTAATTGCAGAAAATCATCATCATCATCTTTGTAGTTTCCCAGTTTCCTAGCCCATTTTCATTACCAGTACATATAGTAGGCATTAGACTTATCACTTCACTATTCCTTCAGATTTAATTTTTAATCTTAAATTTAAAATAAATCAAGAAAGTATGTCAGTTACAGTCTTTGCATGTTAATTTCAATGGAATAAACATTTATTTTAAACTTAAAATTAAAGCTGAAGTGATGGTGGAATGACGAGCATACACAAACACTTGTTTGTTTTAGTGACAATTAGTAGATAAGCCAACCTCTAGAGTGGCATTTTTGATAGGTCACATTGTGATCACAACCTCTGTTGTTGCAGATCAGTAAAAGTAAATCCCAACTCATATTCTTTTTTTTCTTTCAGCAAGAAATTTTACACTAAATTTAATCCTATACATTTTATCACCTCACATAATTTTATATGTACTCCCCCCCCTTTCTCATTTTCTTTCAGTTGTTGGCATTAGATTCAATGCCGCTCTCTTAATTTGGGGTGTTATTGCAATACTCTGTAGCTTATAAATAAATAGCATTTGATAGTTATTAGAATGTTTTTTAAGGATATAAATTAAACTTTTGGATATAAATTGGCCTCAGCTTTTCAAGTTAGTATCCTTTCTGAAGAATTTAGTCTGAACAACATATCTTAACTTCTGTAGTTCACTGATACCTATTTAAGACAACTGTTTCTTTAAAATACATCAGAATGACTTCCTGTTATAATCCAAAACTGTACCAAGTCTTTAAGAAAGACTGTATTTGAAACAGTTTTATATCCATCACAGAACACAAGTAGGTGACCAAAATTTGTAACTATTTAGTTGATACTCAGGGATTTTAAAAGAAAGGAAAGGATACAAGGTTTCTTAGGGATAGCTCTAAGAAACTGGCAGTTTTAAAATTGATAACTTTAAATTAAATCAAAATGTGATGGTTGAGTAATGATTGATAATATTCACTGTGTAAGCATATGCCAAGGAAGACATCTAAAGAGAATATTTAAAGAATGAACTCATGGAGAAAACTGTGGCTGGCCAGATGTTACCAGTTATAAGTAGGAGTTGTAATACAATTTTCTTTTACTGTTTTAGAAAATTTAAATGTGAAATAGCAGCTCTAATGATCTCTCAATTGCTTTGGGGTCTTTCTTCCCTTTTTTGAAGGGTAACAACTTTGTAGCCTGCCTTCATCAGTTCTCACCAGTAGTGTTTCTGGAGGTTCGGTCCTATCTGTATTCCTGAGTTCATTGACATGGTTTATTAGATCTATGCTTTATATACATACTAACCTCCTTATCAAGATATTATCCATAATCTTGCTGTTCTTTTTTGAAAACTTGTTCTCTCTCTCTCTCTCTCTTTTTTTTTACAATGGACAGAAAATGGACATTTTCTACATTTTAAAGTTCTGGTTCCTGTTTATTTAACAACTCCTTCAATTTCTTTTCTCTCACATTTTATTATAAGCAGTCAGGAGGAATCAAATATACCTTCTGCAAACACTGGACATAAGTATAATTCAGCCAAGTTCTTTGCACATCAAAAAAAAGGATTGTCTTTTCTTCATTGTTCAATAGCATGTTCCTCATTTCCATCTGAGATCTTACTAGAATAGTCTCTTATTGACATATTTCTACCAATACTCTGTTCATGGTTATTTATATGTTAAGAATATGGAAGATTTCTTTATAGCTCTTCTTTTTTTCCTTCTGAGCTTTCTTCAGAATTGTCTTCAATGTTCATATTTCATTCATTCATGGCAGTCTGCGCTTTTTTTTTTAAACATGTACCTCAAACTTTCCCAGAATCTACCCATTTCCAAAGCCACTTCCACACTTTTAGGTATTTGTTACAGTAGCACTTTCACTTTTCAGTATCAATATTTGTCTTAGTCTTCTCCAGAGAAACAGGAACAGTAGCAGATTGTGGAAACAAGTCCATAGTCAGCAAACTCACCAAAAAGAGTGAGTTTTATGGTTCCATTTTCATTAGAGAAGTCCCAGATCAGTCAAGCAAAGATAACACATCAGTCTGGTCTCTTACTATAAGGATATAAATCCCATCATCGGGCCTCATCCTGATGACTTCATCTAACCCAGAACACAAAGACCCTATCTCCAAATACCATCACTATGGTGCTGGGGCTTCAAATATATAAATTCAGGGAGGACAGTAACATTCAATCATAAGACTATTGCTTCTTTGCTTTTAACCTAATATTTACTTAATAAATATTTATTAGAGATCTATTTGTTCTGGGTATGTAAGAATAACTTGTTAAGATGAGGGTAAAGTTTTACAGATAAAATAATTATTCAGTTACTTGGAATCCTTTTGGTTAGGGTCAGTGTGAGAGGTTCACAGCCACTATAAGAAGTGAAAGATCAAACCGTAAGGTAATTTAATCTTCTGGTTCTTTGTACTAGCCCACTTTACTTCTTAATTTTCAGAAAATGTAACATAACTTAGATCTGAGAGATGTCTTGAGCAAGAAATTAAAAAAAAAAATCTAGGGAAGGTTGAGGCTTACGAAGTTTTTAGGATTCTGAAATGGCATTACTGAGCTAGAATCTAGATTATTTCTTTAGGAGGCACAGAAGCATAGATCATATCCGAGGGAACTCAAAAGAAACTCTTGCTGAGCTAACCACTATTGACCAAAAAAAGGCACCAAGTGTCCAAACCACAGTAATATGATATGGTATTTTCAGAAGTGTGCACTATGGAGTCAAAATTTCCCAGGTCCATACCCAGGATTCTCTACCCTTTTCCTGAACGCTTGTGGTCAAGTGATTTACCTTCTCATTGCCCTTGGTTTCTTCATTTGTAAAAAACAGAATGATAGACATACCTATATCTTTCTGTGGTTATGACAGCTAAAAAAACAAGTACAGTGCGTTTAGCATGATGATAAATGCTTTGTGAGATTTTAGGTATACCGAGTCAGGACACTTGATTGTTAGGTCCTTATCCTTAGTGATCTTAGGTGCACAGTAGAGGGTTATATGCTCATCCATAGCTGAAATAATTACCCATTTCAATGTCAGAATTATCTTTTTTATCTTTACTATTTGTAGCACTGCAGAGGAACATAACCCCTTACTAGAATTTATGGGATTTTCAGACATAAAAGGCCATATCAACTTTATGGTTTTTTAGGGATTTCAAGATTTAAATCAACAAGTTACTGTATGCCTACTTTGTCCTAAACAAATTTAGAGAATATTTTCCTCCCTGATTTTCAGTGAATACTGAGAAATACAATCATATTATCACATAGGGACCTGACTCTACAAAGCCAGTTGTTACTGTGTATCTGAGTAAGTAATGGTGTAACCCTAAACCAGCAGCCTTTTTTCTATAACACTAAAAGGCAATTGGAGCAGGATGTAATCTATAACATTCTAGGACTGTGAGGTACACTCATTTCTCCAAAGTGCTGGGTCTAAAATGGTGTGACAGAATATTGCAGACATTGATAAGAAGGCAGCAATTTCACCATAGAATCAGAAAACTTCAGGATTATTTGTCACATTCTTCAGGACTTGGGCTGGGTACCATTATCAAGTGTGCACCTTTATTCATTTTTTACTTATGCAGTTAGCAATAATTATATTGCACTTTTGGTTTGAAAATGAAATAGGCAAAAAGAAAAATACTGTGAGAAACAAAATTTTTAGTATAGAATTAGTGTCTGCCTAAAATGAGAATTTTAGGAGTAGAGGAGAGAAAGCATGGTGGGAAAAATGAAATAAAAACATTTTGATGGTTTATATAAATTTAAATTAAAAAATAAGAGGCTGAGATTCAATAAATTTTCCATTTACCATGCTGCATTAATAAGCTCATATAAAGGACTGCATTTTGATAGCAAACGTATGTATCTATGCCAGTATTAGTTTAACTCTATGGCAAAACAATAAATAAAACTGCTAATATACAACATTTCCTGGATATAAAGACACTGACTCTTTACCACCTGAAATTAACAGTGAACAGCAGAGCTGAAATGGAAATTTGCAGGAATCACTGGATGTACTTAGGTTCAAAGAACCACCGTACAATCTGTGCCTATCTGGGAGATGATGCTAGCTTCAAACATTGTATATATCTATATATAACATAGATATTATATAGCTATAATGTTATTTGGGATGGAACATTCAACTTAGTATTATTTTATGTTTTTCTTGATGCATTAACTATTTCACATGGGTTTGGACAGAATTGGCCCTTAAAGGATTTTAGCGAACTTTTTTTTCTCTCTCATTCTCCATTTCACCTCATCTTTTACCTATCTTCTCCTTTTTCCCTTTTTTGTCACCTTCTTAAAGGAACAGTGTACAGTGAGATTTGTCTTTCAGTTGACCACAGTATTTCCAATGTCCAAAGAAATAATGGGGAAGGGTGTTAACACATGTATGTCATGGGGCTGAGAACTGTGCCAGCAGTAACCTTACCTCTGAGAATACAGTGGGTACTCCCAAATGTCTTTCTGACCCTTCTGATTTATATTTCTCTGTTTTAACATCAGTAAATACTTTTGAGAAGGAAAGAATCAAAGCCAATAAATAGCCTCTTTCTTGTCTACTCAGGTCTGGCACTAAGTAAGTCCAGATAAGAATACGTTGTTGTTGTTGTCGTCGTCATCATCGTCGTCGTGGTTGTCGTCGTCGTCGTCGTCATCATCATCATCATCATCATCCCTTGTTTTAGAGTTTTTGGAATTCTGGAATAGTATGATAAGGAATGTAGAATCAGCGGTGAAGCCATCTAATCCTGGATTTTTAATTGTTGATAGAATTTTGATTACTGATTCAGTATTTTTACTGGTTATTAGTCTGTTAAAATTTTCTTTTCCTTCATGATTGAGTCTCAGTAAATTGTTTCAAGGAATTTATCTGTTTCTTCTAGGTTATCCCATTTGTTGGTGTATGATTGTTAAAAATAGTGTTTTATGACCCTTCTTGTTTCTATTACATCATTTGTATTGTCTATTCTTTCATTTCTAATTTGTCTTCTTTCTCTCTTTCTTTCTTTTAATTCTTAATCTAGGTAATGGTTTATCAAATTTGTTTTTCTTTTTAAAAAAAGCAGATTTCAGTTTCATTGGATTTTTCTATTGTTTTTCTGGTCTCTATTAATTTATTTCTGCTCTGATTTTTGTTTTTCTTTGCTCCACTTAGTTTTGGCTTCATTTCTTCCTTTTCTTTTGCAGTTTCTTGAATCATAATGTTAGGTTGTTTATTTGAGATCTTTTTCCTTAATCTTTACATTTATCATTATAAATTTGCTTCTTATAACTGCTTTTGGTGTATCCCAGGAGTTTTGGTATATGGGCTTCCATTTAATTTGTTTCAAGGTTTTATTTTTAAATTTCTTCTTTAACCCATTGGTTATTTGGATATGTGTTGTTTAGTATCACATATCTTATGAATTTTCCAGTTTTTCTCCTGTTAGATTTCCAGTTTCATGTCATTGTGGTCAGAAAAGTCTTTTCTGTTTTAGTCTGCTTAAATCTGGTAAAGACTTTTTTGGTGATCTAACATATGACATATTTTGGATAGTGTTTTATGTGCACTTAAGGAGAAAATGTATTCCATTGCTATTGAATTAGATGTTCTATATATGTCTTTAATGTCCATTTTGCCTCAAGTGTAGTTCAAGTTCAACATTATTCATTCTAAGGAAATGATTTATCCATTGTTGAAACAAGTGGAACATTGAAATACCTTACTGTTATTGTGTTCTTATTGCATTTTTCTCTCATATCTGTTATCATGTGCTTGATATATTTTGGTGCTCTGATTTGAGGCATATTTATAATGACAATTATAATAACTTCTTATGCATTGACCATTTTATTATGTAATAACTTTTTTCTCTTTCTATATGTTTTGGCTTAAAGTCTCTCTTCTGTCATATAATTATAGTTATCTATGCAGTCTTTCATTTAATATTTACATAAATATCACTTTTCACCTTTACTTTTAGCATTTGTGTGCCTTTAAACTGAGGTGAGCCTCTTGTAGGCAGTACAGAGTTGCTTCTTGTTTGTGTTGTTATTGCTGTTGTTTATTTAATTCATTAGCCACTGTATTTCTTTTGATTGGGAGATTTAAACTGTTTACATTTAAAATAATGATTGGTAGGTAAAGACTTATTATTGCTATCTTTTAAATTGTTTTCTGGCTAATTTGAATGTCCTTTGTTCTCTTCCTGTGTCTTACTTTCTTCCTTTGTGACTTGATCTTCTGTAGTGCTTTTATTACTTTCTCTCTTTTATGTATCAATGATAGGTTTTTGTTATGTGGTCACCATGAGCGTTACATAAAACATCATAGTTATAGCAGTCTATTTTAAGCTGGTAACAACTTATCACCAATATTTTCAAAAACCATATTTTTATTTCTATTTTCCATTTTATTTTTTTATCTCAATTTACATTTTTTCTCTTTTTTTAGGATTTTATTTACTTATTACTGAATATAATTATTACTGACTATAATTTTATAATTATAATTATAATTATTACTTATTACTAATTACTTACTACTTATTACTGAGACAGAGAGCATGCCTAAGTTGGGGAGAGGAGCAGAGGGAGAAGGAGAAGCAGACTCCCTTCTGAGCAAAAAGCCCTACGGAGGGCAGGATCCTAGGAACTTAAGATCATGACCTGAACCAAAGGCAGATTCTTAACTAACTCTGCCACCCAGCCTCCCCTCAGTTTACATGTTTTCATATTATGCATCCATTAATAACTTATTGTAGGTATGGTTAATTATACAGCTTTGTAGTTTTTAAGTTTTTATAGTTTAATTTTTATATTTAATTTTCCTTGACTTGATACTTTTACAAAGCTATAGAAATAAAAACAGTTTGATATTAGTATAAAAACAGACATCAGTGAAACAGCATAGAAACCCCAGGAATAAATACATATATAGTTAACTGATCTAAAACATGGTACCTGAATATACAATAGAGAATTATTTCTGTTCAATAAATGGTGTTAGGAAAACAAAAGAATGTAATTTAACTATTTATTCTGTCTATATATCTAGGTATCTATCCATCTATCATTTATCTATCATGATAAAATGTCATGATATCCACCTAAATATATATTTTATATATATATCAATTATACCTCAATAAAGCTAAAAAAAATATGAAAATTAATTCTTAACTGAAGCAGCTTTTTAATTTAATTTAACTATTTTAATTGAGAATATATAGTGGAGGGAAATGTACTGCTAATTAGTACAAGTTGGTACCAGGGTCTGTTTCATATAGCATAACTAATTTTTTTAATATATAATGTATTATTTGCTTCAGGTCTGTGAATTATGTCTTACACAATTCAGAGCACTCACCATAGCACATACCATCCTCAATGTCCATCACCTAGCTACCCTATTCCTCCCCCCAATTCCGCAGTAACCCTCAAGTTTGTCTTCAGATATTAAGAATCTCTTATGGTTTGTCGCCCTCCCGATCCCATCTTGTTTCATTTTTCCCTTCCCTACCCCCCACAACCCCTAACCCTGCCTCTCAAATTCCTCATATCAGGGAGATCATATGGTAGTTGTCTTTCTCCGATTGACTTATTTTGCTCAGCATAATACCCTCCAGTTCCATCCATGTCGTTGCAAACGGCAAGATTTCATTTCTCTTGATGGCTGCATAGTATACCATTGTATATATACACCACATCTTCTTTATCCATTCATCTGTTGATGGACATCTAGGTTCTTTCCATAGTTTGGCTATTGTGGACATCGCTGCTATGAATATTGCGGTGCATGTGCCCCTTCAGATTAGCATAACTAATTTTATTATACAAAGGCAATACAGTGAAAAAATTGAGAACATGTCAATATTTTTTTTAAAGATTTTATTTATTTATTTGACAGAGAGAGATCACAAGTAGGCAGAGAGGCAGGCAGAAAGAGGGGGAAGCAGGCCCCCTGCCGAGCAGAGAGTGCAATGTGGGGCTCAATCCAAGGACCGTGAAATCATGACCTGAGCTGAAGGCAAGAGGCTTAATCCACTGAGCCACCCAGGCACCCTGAGAGCATGCCAGTACTTTGATGAAGAGTTTTGATGTCACAGACCTATTGAAAGGGTCTTGCCATTTCATAGGGCTGCAGAGATCCAGTCTTGATAAAATGTATGATCTACCCCATGACTCCAAGTGGAGTGGTTGGAACTGGCAGGATCTAAGCACCTGGAAAAGGTAAGAAATGCAGACCTGCCTTTTTTATAGAATCAGCATTTTAATGAGATCCCAAAGGGATTTATATTCACATTAAAGTTTGAGAACCACTGTTCTTTCAGAGGGGCCTGTAGAATTTTCTTTTAAAGGGCCAGATAGTAAATATCTATGGTAGTTCTTCAGCTCTGCCTTTTTAACTTCACCCATTGACAATTAAAAAAAAAAAAATGAGTGTGACTATCTGCCAATAAAACTCTTCATGTTTCACAAGATCTTCTTTTGAATTTTTCTCCTTTACTTGAGTTTAATTTTTTTCCTTTTTTTTTAATGTTTTCTTTTTCTTTTCTTTCATTCTCCCTCTCTTTCTTCCTTCCTTTTCTTCCAACATTTTAGAAATGCAAATACCATTCTTGACAGAGTTGTGTTGATCCCTGTATCACAGTTTGCCACTTCCTGCTCTATAATACTTCTTAATTATGACTGGTCATTGAAACCACATGAAGAGCTTTAAAAAACAAACTCATACATTCTGTCCATAGAACTTCTGATGTAATTGATAAGGTGAAGCCTGAGCTTTAGGATTTTTTAAATATTCTCCAGATGATTCTAATGAACTGATTTTTAATACATATTATTTAAAATTAATTTTGTTATAAGCATTGTTATTTTTTTATTTAAAAATTAGCATTTGAGGGGCGCCTGGGTGGCTCAGTGGGTTAAGCCGCTGCCTTCGGCTCAGGTCATGATCTCAGGGTCCTGGGATCGAGCCCCGCATCAGGCTCTCTGCTCAGCAGGGAGCCTGCTTCCTCCTCTCTCTCTCTACCTGCCTCTCTGCCTGCTTGTGATCTCTCTCTCTGTCAAATAAATAAATAAAATCTTTAAAAAAAATAAAAAATAAAAATAAAAATTAGCATTTGGCTGTGTTGCCAAATATCTCAGACAAGGATTGTACATAATGAACAGAGCAAAGTTTCTCACCCTTGGGCACTACTGACATTAGCTCTGCTTGTAACTCTTCACAGGGACAGCCTGAGTCACCAATGCAGTTCCTTTCTAGAGATACCTTCTCTTTTGTAGGGGCCATCCTGTGCACTGTACAGTGTTAGTAGCATGCCTGACCTTTATCCACTGGCATCCAGTAACACCACTCCCTGCCACAAAGTAACAAACAAAAATATCTTCAGATATTATTTAATGTCCTCTGAGCCATACTCACCCCTACTGAGAAGTGCCATGTAGGCCAATTTGAATCACGGAGGCCTATCTACATTCACTTTTGCTTCTGTAAGTCAGATTCTTTCCACCTCTATTTTCCTGTTGCTGGTTGTCTAAAAGATGTAAAGTTGGCTCCTTTTCTTTTTAATTTTTTGGCTCATTATAAATTAGTAAAGTAGGTAGGAATGCTGTATATCAAGATGTGTGTTTGCATGTGTGTGTGTGTGCATGTGTGTGTGTGTGTGTGAGTGTGTGTGTGTGTGTGTGTGTGTGTGTGTGTGTGTGTGTGTGTGTGACATTCATTCCCTAAGGAAGAATATAGCCGTTGTTAACTCCTGGCCCTCCTTTTGAGCCAGCATTAAATCTGCTGTCAGGATTACAGACACTTAGGGCAGGTCATTAGGCCTTTGTGAATTTATAGCCATGGCAACAACTATCTGCAGGCCTGAGGACAAAATGTGTTTTATTTTGTTGTTCTGCACAAAAAGTCCCAGGAATGCTGGAGACAAAATAGCCATTGAGAGTTAGAGGCACTGATCCATGTTTTTTCCCCTACTATGTAGTTTATATTTAAACTGTCTTAGGCTAATGCACACTGAAGTTTTTGTGTGAATTCAAACCTAAAATCCTCTTTAGCCAGAAACTAGGTAAATAAAGCTTATGATATTATCAGCGCAATGTAGATTTTTAATATTTAGTGAGAAGTACTGAGAATTTATATTAGAATATAGTAGACTGCTATTTGTTTTACTTTAAATGAAGAAAAGATAATCATAAAAAACTGCTTTCCTTGCCTTTTCTCATTCATGTTAACTAATATTGTCATTGCTGCTTCGATGCTTGGGAAAACATCTGTGGATTTCTAAGGGTACCCAAGAAAGCATTGATGTCCCTAGCGAGGATTAACTTTCAACAGTAGGTTGCTCTGCTGATATTTAGCACCACCTTCACATTTGAAAACATTAACCCTACCCATGACTCTTCATACTGGGAAAAGCCTAAGTCACAGGTCCAGTTACTTTCTAGAGACACCCTTAGCACGACGGAGGAGGGGACAGTGAGGCTGGCTTTCTCAGGACCTACTCTGATACAGCACTAAAGCATCTTGGCTCTTATGAGACGAGCAGTATATGTGTGGCTCAGAGATGGCACCAGTTACATTCTTTTCACATAGCTGAACAATTTGTTTGTCTTCTTTGCAGATCTTGGAACTTGCCATTTGATTGGCAATTAGCTAGAAAATTATTGCAAGTCCAGTGGGCTGCCTCTTGTGGAGAAAACCGAAAACAGGGTTCAGCACAAAAGCCTTTCAAATAGACTCAGGACACGCCGCCTCCCACCCCCGCCCCAGAACTGGGGAGATGGGAGTTTTGACCACAATGGTCTTCTCAAACTCTTCTACAGACACAAATCCCCTGATGCCTTATTAGAATGCTGACTTTGATTCAGCTGACCCAGGGTAGGACCCAAGACTCTGCATTATTCTCAAGTTCCCTGATGGGGAGTTCCTCATCCAAGAACTATGCTTTGCGAAGCAGAGTCTGAGTCACTTTCAAGTGATAAGTGGTCCACTCATGTCTTGTCTTGGTCTTTGAAAGTTCTTGTTGTCATCCAACAGCAGCTGACAGCATGCAACTTTAGCTCTTTGGGGCTATAAACACAGGAATCCAGTTACCCACTGGAAACCTTCCCTTGAGATGACGTGCAGTGTCCTCAATCTCAACATGTCTAAAACTGAACTCATCATCTTGGTTCTCCAAACCTAGCCCTCTTCTGGTCAACCCTAGCTTAAGGAAGAGGACAACACCCATCCAGTTACCCACATGAGACATTTAGGAGTCCTCCTTGGTACTCACCAGTCCATCCTCAGCCTCACCAGCAAATCCATACCAAGTTGTGCCCATTTGACATGTTAAACATCTCTCAGACTCTCCATTTCTTCAGCCTCCCCTGCCTCTACCGCAGTCCAGGCTCCTGTCATCTTTCGCCTAAATTATTACAGTGTGCTCCTGGTCCTCTACACATCTACTCTGTCCCTTTCAGAGCAGCCAGACTGCTCTTGTACAACCCAAATTATTCACTGTGCATAAAAATGTTCCACAGCTTCACCTGGTTCTGAGGATAAAACCCAGAATCCTTAATGCCACTTAGAAAGCCCTGAGTGATCAAGCTCCAGTAGACCCCTTGTGCCCTTTCCATGCCTTTCATATATTCTGTGCAGTTTTTTACCTGATTCAGAAAGGAGAGGAAATGTGGTCCCTGTTATTCCACTTTGGTCAGAAACCAGAAACAGAGGTTCTCAAAATTAAGCACCATCAAAATTACCCAGAAAGTTTATTAAAAACAGACTACTGGATTAACTCCCAGTTTCTGATTCAATTGTTTTCGAGTGGAGCCCAAGGTTTCCCATTTTTAGTGTGTTACTAGGTAATACTAATGCTTCTGATATGTGGTTCATACTCTGAGTACCACTGCTTCCAGATATGGGTCTGCAAATTTTTTCTATAGAGTTAGAGTCTTAGGCTTTATAAGACATGAACTCTCTCTTTTGACTATTCAACTCTGCCATGTGAAAAAAAGAGTCACAATTTCTAAGTAAATAGGCATACCTGTGTTGCAATAAAACTTTATTTACAAAAATATAGGCCACAGTTTGACTACCACTGTTTTAGGAGAAACTTAACATTGATTCTGTCAGGAGTAACAATAGTACTTGTTGCCAACTTTCAGAACAAAGGAGAAGTCATTAATTGTAGCACATGGGTAATAGTTTTACAGAATTTGATGGTCACTGTACTCAGAATAACATGGTAGGGAAGATTATGTTTGCATTTCTAGGCTTCCATTTCTAACACTATGATATAGAACACTACTATGTACATACATTATAAGAAACCCTACATCTCCCTCCCAGGATACACCCAGGAATGGCTACATAATTTTCAGGGCTACTAAAAAATTAAAATTCAGACAGCTGTGTTAAAAACCTATTTAATATTTTACATAATTAAACTGAGAAGACAAAGACTCATTCAATGGCTCAGTTGTTAAACTAAAATATGGCCCTATGTGAATAAACAGGCCACATGCACATACACATGAGAACAGCCTAAAAAAAGAACACCATCATGGCCTCTAGCACCACGTCTATCACATACACATGATGCACATGAATACATGAATTTCTGTTCACAAATTCTATAAATTTAGAAGCATTCCTAGTATCAATATCTGATTTAGACAATATTTTTAACATTTTCTTGTCAACTCTGTGCATCAGTTTTTGTTTCTTTGGAATGAGGTATAGCATATAGCCAGATTCCCCTGTGTTCAAACATATCTTAACACACCTAAGATAGAGATACTTTCTAGACTCATGTATAACTTAAAAGCGGGGGTATATGGCTGCTCAGATATGTACCACAGAAGCAATTTTAAACCTGCAGAGAACTGATCAACAAAATAAAAATAAGCTCTCCATTTTGCTATATTATTTCATGTATTTCCCTTTATTATAACAGAAGTTTCTTGTCTTATTTGCAGTTAGGATCCATGAGAGTTTTATCTATATTTATGCAATAAGATGATCAATATATTGACTTCTGGGAGCCAGAATTCCTATAGTTATAAATAAAATCATCTACTGAAAATGCCAGAGCTTTGAAAGTGCTTTGCATTATCTAAGAAGGTATGAGTCTTAGAAGAGATATCCCAAATGCTTCAGTCCCTGGTTTTCTCTGCTAAAACTAGATCCATGTCATGGGGTATCTAAAATCCTTGAGAGAGATAAATCAAAGGAAACTTGAACCTTTTTCTAGTGGTAAACCTGGGACTGAATGGCATCATTCTTAAAACGCCATTTGTCTTTCTGAGCAGGGGAGCAGCTCCAATCTTATGCTCTAAAGCTTTGGGTGAAAGACTGTTTTGAAGTGACAGCTGTGCATTTGGAAGGCTGAGTTCTGTTGTTAATGGGCAAGCATGGCATGCCCTCTCACCTCACCCTAACTCAGAACAATGAGGAAGGAAGTGGGCTTACTATAGTGTGTGTGCACCAAAAATATGCAGGAAGTAATGAGCATTCTATCAGATTATATGTCAGTGCTAGTATGTCAGCTGTGTATATATCCTGCATACTAGATCTTTCTGCATAAAATTCTTCCTGACCCCCTCCAGGATAAATCATCATCCCCCATCTTCTTCCCTCTCTACTCACCATCACTGGCTCTCCAGCAGTCTGTATTTTGGCCCTTATCACACTATTGTAATAATTGTTGTTTGCATGCCTTTAGTGTTACACTGATCTCCTTCAACACAAAGATGTCTTATTTCATAGTGTATCCTCAGTGCCAAGCACAGTGCTGGGCATCCACCAATTCTATTAAAAAGTGTGAATTAATGAAATTCAAAGGAGAACCCAGTTATTATTTAACACATCAGTGAAAATTGAATTATTTTACAAGTCAAAAATGTGACTTCCAAAGTACTGTTTGGCAGTCATGGAATGCTCTCTGATATTGCACCTATGAAATATGACCAGCACAACTAAATTGATTTTTTTAATTTAATTTTAAATAATTTAAATAACTACATATGCTAGTGCCTATAATACTGAATAGCACAGTCCTGAGGCCACACATCTCTGTCCAATGAAGACCAGCTGTAACTTCATTAGCTAGGAAAGCAGGCAATATCTAGTTCTTCACACCATTCTACAATGGGGAGGGGGTGAAAAACACCACATCAACAGGTTTTTATGTAGTGGAACATAAGGCTAAGAGTTATAGTTTTTCTTGCTTTGAGAGTCTGGGGAGAATTTGGACTTTGGGTTGCCTTCTCCCCTCACCTTGTTTCCAAGAAACTTGTATGACAGGATAAGATGGAAGTCCATCTTCCTTGCTGTTAGATCTCAAGTATCCAAAGATCTTGAAGGTACTGACCTGATGGTAAAATTGAATTGTATTGTACACTGGTTCCCATTGTATGTAGTTTTGTATATCCATTTTAGGTAGGTTGGTCTTCATGACAACAGTCAGCCATCTTTTGAAATAAAACAAAGCACACTTTCATATGAAGGCCTAAGCTATTTTGTTTTCCAGTGAACTGAAGAGAAATCTGGTTTATGTCACCTCTACTTTATGCTGGGTAGTCATTCCCTGTCTACTGTAAAGACCATTGAGGAAAAGTAAATTTAGCTGCATAATGTACTTGTCTTGAAGTATTGAACTATTCTTGATTGCAGTTAAATGGCATAATGAATTCAGTTCGGTTTCTCTGACAACAATTAAAAGTTTGGATAATCTAAACAAGGAATGGAAGTCAGGAGAGGTACTGACATTGCCCCAAGGCCAGTGCTACTTCAACTGAAACATAAATGTCTCTTAACTGAAAATATTACCTGGTCCTATCCTTTTGAGAGGGTAGAGAGCTTTATGAAATCTTAAGTAAAATGTTTGTTTTGAAAATGATCATCTGTATTTCTCAAGATTTAGCTTGAATTTCAACTTTTTCATTTCACTTTATTGATGTTCATTTTGTCTTTTCTTTTTCTTCTGTTCCTTTTACTTCAAGTACTTAGATGTCACCCACTAGTTATGGGTTCTTAATCTGAACACTTATATCAGAGAAGACAGGTAGAAATTGGGAAGGATGAGGAGACAGGAATAAACTGTGGTTGTTGGCAAGGCTGGAGAGACATTTTTATTAAAAAGCTGAATTTGATGTTAACATGAATGAAACTTGAGTGGATTTTGGTGACTCTGTACTTGTATGGACCAAAATACCCTTCATTTTTCCAAAATAACTGTGTTGATGTTTTCTGAACCCAGCAACAGTATGATTACTATGTCTGCTTCTTTTGATTCCCAGGAGGTCAAGAGTGGAAGAAAGTTATTGGCTGCTAAGAAATAGAGGTATTTGAAATCCCTCAAGATTAAGTTGAAGTGTCACTATTCCTGGAACTGCAGCTTTACTGCTGTCCTCTCTTTTGACTTTGTTAGTGAACAATTGCTCCTCACTATCGCTGGAGCAACCTCCCATTCCAGCCCCAGGTCAATGAGGAAACTGTAGAATTGTGACTTACTCCATTAATTATTTGTCACTTGGTTGGTCTGCTACTAATCCTAAATAAATTAACTTATGTTCCCTCTTGGAGTGCCAGGGTCCTACCCACAGAGTGATGAGGTCTACACAAAACTGGCTCTTGGCATATTGAGCTGTTATCCACAGAACATGAAATGGAAGTTGGCAAGGGCGAGCCCTCTCTGCAAAGGTGTTGTGTTGATGAAGACAGAGAGGTCTTGCCCATAACGGCTGCATTTTGTCTTCTTTGGGTCCAGGCTGCTTTGAATGCTGCATCAAGTGTCTGGGAGGGGTCCCCTATGCCTCTCTGGTGGCCACCATCCTCTGCTTCTCTGGGGTCGCCCTGTTCTGTGGCTGTGGACACATGGCCCTGGCGGGCACTGTGGCAATCCTTGAGCAACACTTCTCCACCAGCACCAGTGACCACACCTTGTTCAGTGAAGTGTAAGTATTAGTTATCTTTTAAAGTGTATTTAAGGGGTGCCTGACTTGCTCACTCAGTAGAGCAGGTAACTCTTGATCTTATGGCTGCGAATTCAATCCCCATGTTGGGTATAGACATTAACTTAAATAAAAAAAAATAAAAGTTGAAAATTTAAAAAAAAATGTATTTAAAATGCAACAGTCTGGGGCACCTGGGTGGCTCAGTAGGTTAAAGCCTCTGCCTTTGGCTCAGGTCATAATCCCAAGGTCCTGGGATCGAGCCCTGCATCGGGCTCTCTGCTTGACAGGGAGCCTGCTTCCTCCTCTCTCTGTGCCTGCCCTTCTGCCTAGTTGTGATCTCTCTCTCTGTCAAATAAATAAATAAAATCTTTAAAAAAATTTTTTTTAAGTAAAATACAACAATCTCATGGCATTTCTTAAAAACTATAGTGCAGTAAGGGTCATTGAAAGGTGGTTAAATATGAAATGCGAGGCAACTGTCTTCCCATGCATACAATAATTGTACTGGCAGGATCTGTCTGATACAACTATTTTAGAATTCTAGATTCTATTTAAGGCTTACAACTAACAGGAAGAGTCTTGGATGGTTAATTTTATGCACTTTTAGCCCTCAAAATTGTAGCATCTGTTGATACCATACCTTTCACCTCACAGACCTTGAGTAGCTTGCACATTGCTGGCAGAACCAGAGTGGGTAAAAAAGTATCTTACTGTACAAATATCAGGCATTTATGCTCTAATTACAGAGTGTTGCTTTTGATTACAGGGTCAGGCAGCCACTGTTGCTCTTGTCATTTTTCTAAGTCCTTCCCACTCTGGCTAAAATGACTTCCAGGGCTAATGCTTATCTTCCCCCCCACCCTTTATTTTCCTCTTTTCTTTGTTGGGAGCAAGACATTGAGGACTACAGCCATGTATTGGAGAGAAAGTAGAAAGTAACTCCATATGCCCAAGTGAAGACACAGGATTAGAAAAGACATCAGAAGATCTTAAATTTACATCTTAGGGTGATCCTCAGCATAGATATTCTGCAAAAATAAAAAGCAATGAACAAAAACAAAACATAGTGAAGCATAAGGAATGAAAATCTGATTTCTAAAGTTACCATATCATTAGATTAACATATACAATTTTCAACAAAAAATATAAGGTATACAAAATAAAGAAAGCGTTGTTTCCATGGAAAGGAAAGAACAATACAAATTGTTCCTTAAAAAGTTCTAGTGGCAGGTCTGCTACACAGACTTTAAATCAGTGGTCCTAAAAATGTTCAAAGACTTAAAGGAAGATCTGGAGGAAGTCAAGAAAACAATGTCTGGAACACATGAAAATACCAATAAGGAGATAGAAAATCTAAAAAAAAAAAAAAATTCTGGAACTGATAAGTACAACAACAAATGAAAACATTTGCTAAAGGTATTCAAAGGCAGATTTGAACTGATAGAAGAAACAATCAGGAAACATGAACTCAGGACAAAAGAAATGGAGTTTTTTGAACAAAAATAAAGAAATGAACAAAGATGAACACTTTAAGGGGCCCATGAGACACCCTCAAGCCACTCCCTTCCAGGGAGTCCTCAAGGAAAAGAGAGAAAAGGGGGCAAAGAGAATATTCGAAGAAGTAATGTCCAAAAAGTTCCCAAATTAGATGAAAGACATTCAGGAAACTAAACAAATTCTAAGTAGGGTGAATCTAAGGTTAAAAGAGAGGAGGGACATTATATATTAATAAAAGTTTCAGTGCAGCAACATGAGAAAACAATTATAAACATCTGTCCTTAATATAAATTAAAAATAGAATTGAAGGTAGAAAAAGTTTTACAATAATAGTTGGAGACTGAATACCACACTCTCAATAACGGATAGAGTAATCTAATATACATAAGTATAGAAATAGATGATTTAATCCATACAAAAATCCAACTAGACCTGCCCAATGTATTCTAGATATTCTATCCAACAATAGAATGTACATCCTACTCAAGTGCACAGTTCTCCTGCATTTCCTATGATAGACCTAATGACATGGGACATTTCCTATGATAGACTTTATGTTAGCTCACAAATTAAGTCTCAATGATTTGAAAATTCAAATATCATAATATCTTTTCCAACCACGACAGGATAAAGTTAGAAATTAATAACAAAAGGAAAACTGAAAAATTCAGAAATTGTGAAAATTAATACACTCAAGCAACCAATGGATCAAAGAAGAAATCATATGTGAAATTAGACAAATGACAATAAAAACACAGCATATTAAAACCTAGAGGATGCAGTCTGAATAGTGCTGAGGAAGAAATTTATACCTACAAATGCTTATACAAACAAGAAATGACTGAAATCAATTACCTAACTTTACAAATTAAAGAATTAGAGGAGCACCTGGCTGGCTCAGTTGGTTAAGCATCTACCTTCTGCTCAGGTCATGATCTCAGGGTCATGATCTCAGGATCATGAAATCAAGTCCCACATTGGACTCCCTGCTTAGTGGGGAGTCTCCTTCTTCCTCTGCCCCTCCTCCAGCTCATGCATGCTCGCTCTCTCTCTCTCTCTCTCTCTCTCTCAAAAATAAATAAATAAATAAATAAATAAATAAATAAATAAATAAATAAAGTAAATAAATAAATAATCTTTTTAAAAAAGAATTAGAAAGACAAGAACAAATTAAACCCAAAACTAGCATAAGAAGGGAGTAATAAAGATTTGTGATTATATAAATGAAATAGGGAATAGAAAAATAATAGAGAAATCAGCGATACATAATTGACAAACCTTTCACTAGAGAAACTAAGAAAAAGAACAAAATGATAAAAAAAACCAAAGATGTAAGATATTGCCAATTCTATAGAAATAAAGAGGACTATAAAAGAGCACTATGAGCATCTGATAACAAATTCGACACCTTAGATGAAATGGACAAACTCCTAGAAACACAAAAATTACCGAGACTAAAGCACACAACCACAAAAAAAAAAAAAAAAAAAAAAAAGAAAATCTGAAGAAACATAAAATATTAGGGAGACTGAATCAGTAATCAAAAATGTCCCAACAAAGAAAAGCACTGGACCTGATGGTTTCACTGGTGAATTCTTCAAAGTTTTTTTTAAAGATTTTATTTATTTATTTGATGGAGAGAGTGAGAGAGGGAACACAAGCTGGGGTGGTGTAAGAGGGAGAAGCAATCTCCCTGGTGTAAGAGGGAGAAGCAATCTCCCCACTGAGCAGGGAGCCTGTTGCAGAGCTCGATCCCAGGACCCTGGGACCATGACCTGAGCTGAAGGCAGATGCTTAACAACTGAGCCACCCAGGCACCTCACTTCAAAGACTTTTAAATACTAACATCAATCCTTATCAAACTTTCTCAAAAAATTGACCAGAAAGGAACACTTCCTAACTCATTCTGTGAGATCTGCATACCCTGATACCAAAGACAGATAAAAACACTACAAGAAAAATACAAATTAATCTCTATAAACATTGAAGCAAAAACCCACAACAAAATTCTAGCAAACTGAATTCAGCAGTATAATATAAGTTGCATATGCCATGACCAAGGATTTATTCAACCATTATTCAGCATAAGAAAATCTATCAATGAAATTCACCATATTGACATAAAAAGAGTGGGGAAAGGAGGAAGCATAATTATTTCAAGTGAAGCAAAAACATTTGATAAAATTCAATACTCTTTAATAAAAACAGTCAATAAACTAGGAATAGAACGGCATTACATTACAAAAAATTTGAATGAAATTTAATGAAAACCCAACACCAAACATACTCAATGCTGAAGTACTGGCAGTTTTCTCTCCAAGATGAAGAAAAGGCAAGAATGTCTGCTTATATCACTTTTATTCAACATGCTACTAGAAGGCCTGCCTAGCAATTAAGTGAGTAAAGAAACAAAATGCATCAAAATTGGAAAGTAACAAGTAAATTTATTTCTGCTCACAGATGGTGTTATCTTTATATATATATATGTATATATATAAATAATATATATATAAATATAAATAAATATATATAAATATAAATAAATATAAATATAAATAAAATATATATATATAAATACTATAAATATATAAAACCCTAAGGAACACAATACACAAAACTGTTAGAACTTAAATTCAGTGAAGTAGCAGGATTCAAAATTATCACTTAAAAATTAATTGATTTCTGTAGAATATTAGTTATTAATTTGAAAATGAAATTAAGAAAATAGTTCCAATTACTATCAAAACAAACAAATAAAATACTTGAGAATTAATTTAACCAAAGAGGTAAAAGCTTTGTACAAGGAAAACTATGAAACAGTTCTGAAAGAAATTTAAAAGTACATAAATGGAAAGCCATTCATGTTCAGGGTGTGAAAAATTCATTATTGTCAGTAGTACCCCAAGTGATCTACAGATTTAATGCCATCCATACCAAAATCTGAAAGATGATTTTTTTTTTTTTTGAGAGAGAGTAAGAGAGGGCATGAGAAGGGAGAAGGTCAGAGGGAGAACCAGACTCCCTGTAGAGCTGGGAGCCAGATGCAGGACTTGATCCCATGACTCTGGGATCATGACCTGAGCCAAAGGCAGTGGCTTAATCCACTGAGCCACTCAGGTACCCCAAGATGATATTTTTGCAGAAATAGAAACATTGACCCTAAAATTTATTGGAATTTCCAAGGTGCCAAATAACCATAATAATCCTTTAAAAAAAAAAAAAAAAAGAACAAAACTGGAGGACTCACACTTTCTGATTTCAAACCTATTACAAAGATACAGTAATCAAAATAGTACTGGCATAAAGATAGACATATAAACTGATGGAATACAACAGAATAGAGAACTCAGAAATAAACTCTTTCATATATGATCAAAAGATTTCCAAATGTGCCAAGACCATTTATTCAATTGGGAAAAAACAGTCTTTTCAATGAATTTTACTGAGAAAATTGGATATCCACATACAAAGGAGTGAAACTGGACTCTCACCTAACATTTGCA